ACATGCACATCAAAGATACACACAGCACAATTCTGGTTACTAAAAGGAACAAACCTGGCAAGAATAAAAGAAGATGAAATCACAGAGGGAGACAAACCATACGAGACTCTTAGGCATAGGAAACAAACTGAGGGTTGTTGAGGGGAAGGGGTTAACTGGTGAAGACACTAAGGAGGGCAAATGATGGGATGAGCACTGGGTGTTCTATAAGACTGAAGAATCCCTGAACTCTACCTCTGAAGCTAATAATACACTATATGTTAATTAATTAAATTTAAATTTTAAAAAAGAAACCCCAAAATATATGTAAGAGCAAGCTGAAAGATTGCTTGATTTATAAAATGAACTGGAGAAGCAAAGCATTTGACTCTTAGTTCACCTGAATAAAGTTTCTGAGAAGTCATCCAAGCCCCAGTCCCCTCTCCTTCCCTCTGGATGGGGCAAGGGTCCAGATCCAGGAAGAGTCCAGTTGACATTCACTGCCCCCATTCCAGCATGTGGCCTCAGCATCAGGACCTATTGGTGCTGCCTTCTGGAGACAAAGTGGAGGCACATTCTCTTGTGGGGTTGGGCAAACCTATCCTGCAGCTCCCTCTGTCCTTCCAACCCTTCCAGAAAGGCCCTCAAGCAGTCTGTTTGAGCCAGATGAACCTTGCAGGATGTGCACTCCAGAAAACAGGAGTCATTCTGAAGCAGAAAGGAAACGGTTTGACTGGGAGATCTGGGATTTTCTCAGGTGGGCTCCACGCACAGCTAATCCCTCAAATGAATGGGAATCTAACAGGTTCCCGAAGCCTAGTCACTCCCCCAATATCAGAGAAGCTCCCGAAGTCTCCCTGACTCTCAGCTCTCCCCAAGGCCCACCCTCCTCCAGAGGCAGCTGATCAGAGGGGGGCTTAATGACTTTCCAGCAGACACTATTGCTAGATGTCCCAGCAGTCCCCACAAGGGACAAACAGGCCCTACAAGTGTGCCCTGTGAGCGAACAGCCTGGGTCCAGAGCATCGAGATGTGAACCCCAAACCTGCTTCCAACTGCCAGACCTGTGAGCAGCTCGTAACTTCTGAGAAGATGGGCTTGTTAACTGCAGGAAGCTCTAGAATCAGTCCCAACCCTTAGTAAGGGCTAACTGAGGGTTAGCAGTTTCTCATTTCTTAATTGAAGGAATGTCAATCTTCCCATGAGGAGCTTATAATTAAAGAAAAAGTCCAGGGCACCTGGGTGGCTCAGTGGATTAAGCCGCTGCCTTCGGCTCGGGTCATGATCTCAGGGTCCTGGGATCGAGTTCCGCATCGGGTTCTCTGCTCGGCGGGGAGCCTGCTTCCCCCTTCCTCTCCTCTGCCTGCCTCTCTGCCTACTTGTGATCTCTCTCTGTCAAATAAATAAAAAAAAAATCTTAAAAAAAAAAAAGAAAAAAAAGAAAAAGTCCAACACTTAGAAAACTGACTAACAGAAACAACACAGATAATCAAAGAACAAAAAATTATAAAAACAAGAATAAGGAAAAAGTTATACACCCCATAAGTAAAATAAAAAACTGGATACCTTAATTTCCCAAAAGAATGGCACTATTCAGTGATGATGATGCAAGGTTAGAGTTATACTATGTAGTATGATATTATAAATTTCATATTTGGTGGTTTTATTATCTATCATAGTTTTACCATAAGGCAATATACCTCTTATACCATAAAGCATATTATTATCCTGTATTTATTTCCTCTATAAACATTAAACCTGTTAGAACTTTATTTTTTTAAGATATTTATTTGTTTATTTATTTATTTATTTATTTATTTGACAGAGGCAGAGCAAGAGAGGAAACGTAATCAGGGAGAGTGGGAGAGGGAGAAGCAGGCTTCCCGCTGAGTAGGGAGCCGGATGCAGGGCTCAGTCCCAGGACCCTGAGATCTCGACCTCAGCCAAAGGCAGATGCTTAGCTACTGAGCCACCCAGGTGCCCTATAAACCTGTTATAACTTTAAAATGTTCATTCCAGTTAGTAGGTTTATCTCTAGGGGTTTTCCCTAATTAAATATTCAGAGTTCTGCACAATGATTCATGTACAAAAATGGTCATTATGATGTTATTTATAATAAAGATGTCAGAGAACTGAAAACAATAAAAATGTTGGGTCACTTAAGGATGGTTAAATAACCTGTGATTTAGACTACTGGATGAAGACTCCGACATGGAAGGTCCACATTGGGCAAGGGTACCATGAGGAAAGTGGGGCCATGTGCCAATCCATCTTTTGCAAAGTACACTGAGTCAGCCACATACAGGCTGAGCATTCTCGAACAAGATCAAAATTACAGGAAAGAGTCACCATAAGTAAGCAGGAGGAACAAGTTGCCACCCTGTGTAATCTGAGAGGCATTTACTGCCTGAGACAGCTCTCTTGGGTGGTTCAACCAGAAACACTAACCACTGTGCCTCCCTGTAATGATTAACTCTACCAAGCAAACCATTACGAGCGCAACGCAAATTACCTGATCCAAATGCTCACCTGCCAAGGGTATTCAAGGATGAAATTTAGATAAGCACCTTTGATCAAATGGACTGGAGAAGGAAAAGCTCATCTAACCCAGGGTCTCGATTACCACCAGGATGGAACCCATCTTCATACACAGCTCAGTGTCTCTTCCTGAGGTCCCAACTCATATCTCCACTTGTACATCAGATATCCTCCCTGATAGCTCATCCCACACTCAGCATCTTCTTCCCATTTCACAGTGATGAAGAGTTGATTTGTCAAGAAGATATAAACAACCCTAAATGTGCAGGCAGCTAATGACCATCAAGATGCACAAAGCAGAATGGACAAAATTTTTTAAAAATAAAAAATAAAAAGAACAGACAAATCCACACACATAACTGGAGATTTTAACCCACTTCTCTAAAAAGTCAATAAGGATATAGAAAATTTGAACAGTATCAGTCAACTTGGCCTAGTGAACACAGTCAGAGGACTTCACCCAACAACTGTGGAACATGTGTCTTTCCAAGAGCACACAGATACTTGACCATGTGTTAAGCCATGAAGCAAGTCTCGATAGATTTCAAATGAACAAAACCATACACAGTAGATTTTCTGACCACAACAGAATTAAACTAGAAATCAGTAACAAAAACAAGTAGAAAACACTGAACATTAAGTTAAGCAACACATCTGTCTAAATAAATGAAAAAAGAAATCACAAGGAAAGTTATAAAATATTTTGAACTAAATGAAAACAAAAACGCAGTGTATCAAAATTTGTTGAACGCAACTAAAGAAATCCTTGGTGGAAATTTTAAAACTTAAAATATAGATATAGTGAGTGCTGTGAAGTGTAAACCTGGCGATTCACAGACCTCCTGTACCCTGGGGCTAATAATACATTACATGTTAATTTAAGAATTTTAAAATTTTTAAAAAATAAAAAAATATAGATATTAGCAAAGAAAATGAGAAAAATCAATGAATTTGCTTCCACTTCATGAGAAGAACAAATCAAGGGGCACCTGGATGGCTCAGTGGGTTAAAGCCTCTGCCTCCCGCTTGGGTCATGATCCCAGGGTCCTGGGATCGAGCCCCGCATCAGGCTCTCTACTCAGCGGGGAGCCTGCTTCCCTTCCTCTCTCTCTGCCTGCCTCTCTGCCTACCTGTGATCTCTCTCTCTCTCTGTCAAATAAATAAATAAAATTTTTAAGAAAAGAAGAAGAAGGGGTGCCTGGGTGGCTCAGTGGGTTAAGCCGCTGCCTTCGGCTCAGGTCATGATCTTAGGTCCTTGGGATCGAGTCCCGCATCCGGCTCTCTGCTCAGCAGGGAGCCTGCTTCCCTCTCTCTCTCTCTCTCTCTCTACCTGCCTCTCCATCTACTTGTGATCTCTCTCTGTCAAATAAATAAATAAAATCTTCAAAAAAAAAAAGAAAGAAAAGAAGAAGAAGAAGAAGAAATCAACAGCTTCTTTCCCAGTCTGTTGTTTCTCTTGTTCTGTCGAGCTGGAAGCCTTATAGGCACCCTAAATTCTTCCTCATCCTGCCGGTACACCCAAGGGTCTTGCCATCACTACCCCACCACCGTCTCCCTGTTGGCTCTTCAATGTGGTTCCGCATTCCCCTCTTTGTAGCCTCACTATTTTGCAAGGGGCTAAACCAGCAGTCTCCTAAGTGGTCTCAGCCAAACTTGACCACCCCAGTCCTTCCCCAAATCAGCCACAGAAATTGCTGTCCAGCATGCCACTGACATCATGCTATCCCTCCAGCGACACGTACCTTGGAGTTCTTGTCACCTTCAGTAGCCCTCCACCACCAGAAACGTGGGAGTCTTGCAAATGACTCACACGGGTCCTTGGCTCCCACCACCCCAACCAGCTGATGCTCCCCATGTCCTCACAGCTGGTGTGGCCCCCACCAGCACACCCTCCTCCGCCGGCTCCACAAGGAGATACCAGGTATTCCCTCCTGGGAAGCCTTTCTTCACATCTCCCGGGTTGTTGTTATCCCCATTCTGTGCCTCTCTTGTTCCTAATGTCCCCTGTGTACCTCCTTCATACCTGATGATAAGTTTCCCTGTGAATGTTCTAGTCTCCCTTTTCCCCTATATTCTTGAGTTCTTGAGACAGGAAGACATCTCGGTCACCTCTGCCTCCCCACCCTGAGAAGCCACTGCAGGAAGCAGGTCCCTGCTGACTTGCCCCGTAATAATTTGCAGGTGAGTGTTGAGGTCAGCGAGCTGGCTCCAGAAGGATGCAGGGATCTGGCCCAAGTTGGAAGGTAGCCTCTCTTGGCCGTGCTCTCCTGGGACGCTTAAACTCACGCAGTGGATATTTCAGAGTACATAAAAACCGACTGCCTAAGGGTCTCCTACTCTCTTCTTTCTGATGAAGGGCAGTACGGATGACACTTTCCTCTACTCAGAGAAAACCTTTACCTGGTAATAGGGTTCCTAAAGACTAACCCATGAGAACTTTCCAGAGAATACTTCCCAGTGAATTTTGAGCCAGTTCTTCAAGAATGTTTCGAGTCGAGGCGCGCGCTGGTCCTGCTCGTCCTGCAGCTGGTGGTGAGCAGCGGATGCACCTGTCCCTGAAGGCGGGTCTGCCAAGGTGCCCCCCAGGGCTGGGGGATGAGTCTCAGCACCTGCAACTCCACCAGCTGCGCCGCTGCGCCTGGCAGAAGGACAGACGTCCTCCTCGGGAGCTCAGACTGAAGGAGAGGCCAGCAGCGCCCCTGTCCAAGCCCCAGGGGGGACCCGTGTCGCTAGCCATCCTTCCTCAAGGCCGCGAGGCGAAGGAGCTGCAGAGCAAGGGCATGGCGACCTCCGGCCCGCGCTGCTCAGGAACGGTGACTGCAGTCAGTAACCTTCACATCCGCCCTTGGATCCCGAGGGGGCCTCGGTCTTCAGGGAAGTGTCCCCTCGGGGCAGTTCCACCCCGGGCAGGCGCGGTCAGGCTCTCAGTGGGCAGCTCGCGCTTGATTAGGTCACGACTACGGGAGCCTGGGGCCTATTTTCTTGGAAATACGTTTGAAAATATTTAATTCTATGAGGGGAGAAAAGGCCCAATTAAAAATAAAGTGACTCATTTCTTCAAGCGGGTCGCTTTGGCTCCTTCCCTCTGCCTCAGCGCAAGACACCCGTTGCCACAGCAACCTGCGCGGAATGGAAAATGGTCCAGATTTCAGAGAAGGAGTTTCTGGGTTTGTTTGGATGGGACTGTCCGGATCCTTCCGTTCTCGAAGCGCAGACGATGTGGTTCGCGCCGGGGCAGGCAGGGCGCACGGGGCAGGAAGGTCCCCCGCGGGGCTCGCTGGCCTCAGGGTCAGAAGCGCCGCCTGGACGAGAGCCTCGGGGCCGCGCGCCGGCCGGTCCATCCCTACAGACGACCCCTCCCCGGGCGCGGCCCTGCTCCCGCCCGTCTGTCGCCGCGAACCGGCCCGCCAGGCCCCTACGCGCCAGCCGGAGCCCCGGGACCCCCGCCTTCACGAGGCCCTTCCCCAGGCAGGTGCGGATGCTCGTATCACCAGGGGGCTCTTGCGGGTCCTTTCCGGGAAATCAAAATCAGAGTTCACTTTTAAAACCAAAAAGGAAAAATGAGCATGGGCTAGAGCTTCACCTTGTGGATAAATAGGAATCCCAGGTGGAGGAAGGGGTTAATGTGCTAAAAATGAAAACCAAAAAGTGCTAAAAGAATTTGTAGGTGAATTTCTCCACCATTGGTTGAGAAAGTTCTTCCTAATGTCAAAGAAAATTCCTGTATTTTACTGCACAAAAGTTCTTAGGTTGTACCACATTTTAAAGTTCTGCTTACCAAATAAAGAACACCAATGCACTGAATTAAAAGGCAAGTAATAATATAGAAAAATATTTGCAAGAGTTATGAAAAGGAGTCAATATTCCTAAGGCTCAGTCAGTAAGCAAGCTACCAAGACGCCATGAATAAGTGGGCAGATCACTTAAAAAGCTAAGCCACAGAGTATAAGTAAAAATACCTCATAAATACATGAAAATTGTTCAATGTCACAAGAAAGTAAAGTGATGCATTTTTATGTCCCAATACTTAAAATAATTTGTAAAGTTAAATAAGTAATGTTCCACATAGACTGTTACTAATAGAACTAAACTGGTCCAAATTTTCACAAAAAAAGCATTTCAGCAAATACAGCATTAACTTAAAAATATTTGTGAACTTCAACCAAATAATTTCACTTCTTATCCTAGGAAAATAAATCCGATTCTAGGCAAATATCTATGTACAAAGATGCACACATAATGAGAACTGGGAGAACAGGCCGGAACTGGGTGGAAAGGCTAGATCCCAGTTTGCCCGTTTACTGGGGTATCCTGTGACCAAGCACATCCATGAAATTTTAATGATAAAAAATAATGTTTAGGAAGCTAAGTGGAAAAGAAAACCAGCACTTAAATTGTATATAGAATCTTTCATTCATATAAAAACACACTAAAAATACTAAAAAACAAATACACAAGATATTAAGGTGGCTACTCTTGGAAACACTATTCCTTCATTTTCAGAAATTCATGCTTCCTTACTTTCAGCTAACATGTGCAAAGTGCCTTCTATTTACCGGGCGGAGTTCCTAGGGCACTGGGAGCTCAGATGTGTGCAGAACAAAGCACCCACGTTCCAGCGGGGAAGACGGCAGCCAAAAGACAGGTCAGAACAGGCCACAGCAGATACAGTCCGCATCTGCTCTGCAACTCAGGGGCACAAGAAGGTGAGGTCCCTTAGCACTGATACTGTGATGACAAGGCGAAAATACAATGAACACAATGGAAATAAAGCTTCTAAAATCTGGCGTACAGGCAATTCCTTATCGTGTAATGTACACACTGTCCAGAAGTGACTGTCCTTGCCATTTGCAATGGAATAATGTTGCCACGAATCACCACCTACCTTGTCTGACGTATGGCTTTGATGATTAGAGATAATGAGTGTAAAATACCGAGGACAGTTTATTAACCAAAATGTACTCTTGGTAAGTTACAGTCATCATCATACTCTTTTATTTTATTGTGTTATGTCAGTCACCACACAGTACGCCCTAGTTTGGGATGCAGTGTTCCACGATTCATTGTTTGCGTGTAAGACCCAGGGCTCCATGCAATCTGTGCCATCATCATACTTTGAAGTGGAAATGAAATCTTTTCATTTCATTCAAAATAATTTGTTTCTTATGAAGTTACTCCCAACCAAGAGCCTAATTTCAGACATTTGCCTTCAAGTACAAGTGTATGTTTGCTCTCATGGTAATTCGTCTTTCCTCTCCTCTCCTGGAATGAGTGTCCACCAGGAGATGGCCGTCCATGTAGGACTCTGCTTGGCTTCTGGACACTCCCTTCCTCCCATCACAGAATGCAAGGTCCACTCCTCAGCATGAAGGGAGCTACATACAGTGAAGGATCACTGGGGAAGCAAAGGGCAAGCTCTTGCAGACTTTAGTAAGAAACAAATAAGGTATTTACTTTGGCTCTTTATTTACGTTTTCACATTAAATTTCATGTAATAATTTATGCACATGGCTTTAAATAAAGAAAAAAGCTTCTTTAATTAAGTAATAATGGATATGAATATACTAATTTTGGGGGAAAAAAAAACAAGTGCCAAATCAATAAATCATGTATTTTGTTATGATTAAATCTCCTTCATGCAATTCAGGCTACCACGACTGGGTTTAGTGATGATTCAGATCAAAAGTATAGGGAGGGACGCCTGGGTGGCTCAGTTGGTTAAGCAGCTGCCTTCGGCTCAGGTCATGATTCCAGTGTCCTGGGATCGAGTCCCACATCGGGCTCCTAGCTTGGCGGGAAGCCTGCTTCTCCCTTTGCCTCTGCCTGCCGCTCTGTATGCCTGTGCTCGCCCGCCCTGTCTCTCTCTTTCTCTCTCTGACAAATAAATAAAATCTTAAAAAAAAAAAAAGTATAGGGAAAGTATGACCAGCGGTAGTAATTAGACTTCAAATTACTCCTCTAAACCCCCTGAACCCTTTTCTGTAATTAAAAAAAACTTATACAAACATTGAAACAAATTACATATAAATGTTAAAAACCAAGCCACCCTCAAATTTCTTTGCAAAGCTCTATGTCAGATTTATAACCAGCCAAAGCCTTTTCATATGTGAACTGGACAAGATGAATATTCAGAAAATACAAACACGGATGTCACCCAGGGACTGTAACTTACTTTTTTATGAAGACACATGCCAAATATTGGACAAAGGAAGAAAATGGAAAATTTCAAGAATGAGAAAGTGACGGTGTTAAAAAATAAAAAACTGTCAGTAACCAATCAGTTGAAATAGAGACGATCTAAATAATCACACTGTGCTTTTGAAGTTAAATGCAGATGTAAGAAAACCCTCAATATGGAATCGTATCACATAAGAATCTATGAGACAGCACCAGTAATCATTGAAGCAGTAGATGTGACCATACATGCTGAGCTGTAGGCATAAAGACAGCACGTGCACCAAGATGAGAAAGAACATTCTAAAATCACACCTTCTACAGAAGGGGATTCAAGAGACAGCATTTCACTATCGACCCTACTATTTAGGAAATATAGGCTAAAGAAAGCCTTTAAAAACTAAAAGTAATCCCTGGTTAACACTGAATATAGTAAATATTGCTTCTAAGACAGAGGAATTAAAGGAAAGAAAACACGATTCATACACTGAAAGAAGGAAGCAGTGTGCAAGCCTTTGTTAAAATGATGGAACATTGCTTAAGTCAGATCTAATTCTGGATGACTCATAGGGTGATTTCTCTGTTGGAAAATAAAATTCAGATTGTACCTAAAACCAAATTCCAACCATCTGCTACTTTTAAAAGTTACACCTAAAATAAACAAATGACGCTAAAAAATCTCCATATTTATATATTGGCAAAGAACACAGGCAAAAACAATGAAAAGTAATGCAGGGAGGATGACCAGTGGAAGCAGGAGGACGGTGGGCAGAGCAGGAGGATGGTGGGCAGAGCAGGGAGGATGGTGGGCGGAGCAGGGAGGATGATGGGTGGAGCAGGAGGGCGGTGGGCGGAGCAGGAGGATGGTGGGTAGAGCAGAGAAGAAGGTGGGCGGAGCAGGAGGATGGGATTGGAAGCCAGAGGACGTCTAACGTGATAGACAGCTTACCTGTCGCACTTTTATGCTAATGAGGCAACTTTCTGGTTGCCCGGCGGCTGGACTAAGGAGAGCCCATTTGTGACAAGACGAATTACTAATGCGGGACGTTGCAGCCCCTCCCACCAACCTCGCAGGCCCTGCCCGGCGGGAGTCCAGGCCGGTCCAACACTCCCCTGGGCGGCAGAGGAAGACGAAGTCCAGAGCAGAAGCGAAGTAGATACGCAGAGATGCAGCCCTACAGGAGAATGGGGAGGGGGCGCAAACGCCAGGGTCAGGGTGAAGGAGCAGCCGGCAGGGTGGGAGGCTCTGGGAGTTCGGGGTGAGGGGAGAGGACAGAACGCACAAGGATATTTGCTGGAGCCTTGGGACCTGGAAGGAACTGGTCCTTCAGGGAAGAAGACATTTACCCTGTTTCTGTGCCTGGCGGGAGGCACCTCTCAGACATACCCCCCCACCACGACCCCTGGATGTGAAGGGGCCTGGGAGCTGGGCCATCCTGAGCACCAGGGAGCAGGGGACTGGCTGAAGCGGGACTGACCCCTGAGCCTCTGAGGGAAGTTCCCCACTGTGGGTGCCTGAGGGCCTCTTCCCTGCAGGCACAAACTGGGGGGTTTCAGTGCGCCCCCCACCCGTCCTCCCCAGCTCCAGCATCAAAAAGTCTTCACAGAAGGGACGTCCGAGCACATTCCCCTTCTGTCCAGTGGTCCTAGGGGCCTCTCTTTCTTTCCCTGGGGACTCCCTCCCATGCCTTGTGAAGCAAATCTGAGGCTGGTGGTTAGGGGGGCTGAGAACAGCGGGTGTGGTGGGGGGTGGGGGATGGCACCCGCAGCACCAAGCTCTTTGGTTTTAGGCAGTGCCTGACCTACTTGTCTCCCGACAGTGTGAGTGCGGCCAACTTCTCACTGATGGGAAAGGCTGGGGAAATATTTCTGAGTGGAGACTTAATTAATTGGTACTTGATTGCTCTATTTGAGCCTCTGATGATTTTTTTTTAAGAGAGGGAGGCAGGGGGGTGCCTGGGTGGCTCAGTCAATGAAGCCACTGCCTTCAGCTCGGGTCATGCATGGTCCCAGGGTCCTGGGATCAAGCCCCACATCGGGCTCTCTGCTCAGCGGGGAGCCTGCTTCCTCCTCTCCCTCTGCCTGCCTCTCTGCCTGCTTGGGATCTCTGTCTGTCACATTAAAAAAAAGAGAGAGGGAGGGAGGGAGGGAGGGAGGGGCCGAGGAAGACAGAGAGGGAATCCCAAGCCGACTGCACTCTGAATACAGAGCCCAATGCGGGGCTTGACCTTAGGACCCTGAGATCATGACCTGAGCCGGACTCAGGAGTCGGAGGCCTAGCCGACTGAGCCGCCCAGG